AGAAATCTGCTTGTCTATGCCATTGATGACAAAGTAGACATCAAGGCCTTTTAGCCCTTTTGGAACTATACCCATGTGTTCCTTTCATTTTACCCTTTTGATGAAAGCAAATGTTCTATAGTGAATGGCTACTAGACCACCCTGAGCTGTGTTATAAAGTCCCTGGGAAACCTTTAGAAGTACTCTCTTCTGCAATGTACCAGAATAAATTATAATCTGCTTTACATATCTGAAGGACTGTTATGAACCTCATGGTAGAGTCTCACACTATGGAGCATCATTGCAGCATCTGAAGCCCAAACAGAAGGAGAACACTTTTGTGATGCTAATTTAGGCTTCTTTTATATTAGGTTATATTTTTTAGCCCACAATACTAGAGCAATTGGATAATCATAGGCAAAAAATGTCAATTGAAACATAAACCTCAATACATAGCAAAAACAACTCAAAAAGTATCACAGAATTAAGAAGTATATAAATATGAATCTTTGAAACTTAAAAAAATGCAGAGTTTATACTTAACATTGAACCACAACAAAACTAAAAATTTTGCTCTGTGAAAACCTTCATGGAGAAGATGTCATTACAGTAGAGAGAGTATTTGCAAATCACATATCTGACAAAGGAATAGTATCTAAAATATATAAAGAACTCACACAACACAAGAGTCTAAAATGATCCAATTAGAAAATGAACAAAAGACCTAAAGAGACATTTTACTGATATGCAGAAGGCAAATAAGAACATGAAAAGATATTCAATATTATTAGCCATTATTTAGATGAAAACTTAAACCACAACAAGGTATTACTAAACACCTATCAGTATGGCTAAAATGAAAAAAATAAAGACAACACTAAATGCTAGCAAGGATACAGTGGGAATAAAATAGTATGACTACTCTAGAAAATGACAATTTCTTACAAACTAAACATGTAACTACTGTATGACCTAGAAAGTAACTCCTGAGCATTTCTCTCAGAGAAGCTAAAATTTATACTCATGTAAAAAAACTTGCATATGAATGTTTGTAGCAAATTTAACTGTAATAGCCAAAATCAGGAGTTAACCTAGATGTCCTCCAAGGTATGAGTGATCAAATAAACCAGTACAAAAATAGCATGCAGTACTACTCAGCAATAAATGTGAATAAACGAATGATATTCAAAAATGTGGATGAATCTTCAGAGAATTAAACTGAGCAAAAACCGCTCACCACAAAAGGTTGTGTACCATAAGATTTCATTTGTATGACATTTTCAAAGTGACAAAACTTTAGAAATGGAAGCCAAATTAGTGATTGGCAAAAATTCAGAAACAAAGAGGGTAGAGAATAGGGAAGGAGGAAGCCAGTTTTGTTAGAAAGGAGCAACTCTAGAGATCCTCAGGGAGTTGGAATTGTTCAGAACTTTGACTGGTGGTGGATATGTAAACCTACATAGCAGGTAAAATAGAACAGAACTTACTACTAATGTGCTCACACATGCAAGTACAAAGTGAATCTGAGTGAATCTAAATAAAATCAGTGGATTGTGTCAGTGTCAATATCTTGGTTGTGATATTATGCTATAATTTCATATATTTCATCATTGGGGGGACTTGGAAAAGTATATGAGGAATTTCTCTATATTATTTTCAATAACTGCATATTAATCTACAACTATCTCAATAAAACTTCAGTTTAAAAAATGTCTTTTTCATGAAATCTAGATAGGGCAGAGGGGTTGGAGCAGAAGGGAGGGGGCATGGGGTTATTAATGATGGTGGAATGTGATGATCATTATTATCCAAAGTACAGATATGAAGACACGAATTGGTATGAATATACTTTGTATACAACCAGAGATATGAAGAACTGTGCTCCATAAGTGTAATAAGAATTGTAATGTGGGGCTGGGGATGTGACTCAAGCAGTAGCGCGCTCGCCTGGCATGCATGTGGCCCGGGTTCAATCCTCAGCAACACATACAAAGATGTTGTGTCTGCTGAAAAAACTAAAAAATAAATATTAAAATTCTCTTTCTCTTTCTCTCTCTCTCTCTCTCTCTCTCTCTCTCTCTCTCT